TTCTGATTGTCTAAACATTTTTTTATTTGTTCTTTATACTATGATATTATTGCTCAAATAATTGCAATATATCTCCTCTCTTATAGTATTGTGATATATTCTTAAGCCCTGTATCTCGATACATGACGTCATTTTTGCCAATACACAGTCCTAAAAACAATGCATGGTAAAACAAATATTTGAAGTGGTATTCATCAGCGCCGCAGACTCGACCGCTGCCCTCGTGTGTGAAGTCCTGCGAGAGGGGCGAGCTGGACCAGTCTGGGATGACTGGGTTGAACCGGTCTGGTTTCTGCCGCCCGAGTTATGCTGCCTGTGCAGGGTTTTTGTTCCAGCCTTACAGGCACCCCCTGTAATTAACTCCCTGGATCACTCTGCATGCTCACTCACACAGACACAAAGTGATGGAGGGAGGGAGGGTGAGAGAGGAAGGGAGAGAGGGTGACAGGCAGACACATACAGTGGCATATGTTGACACAGACGGACAGCTTGCACACAGAAATGTAATACATGTCCAAGACACATACAAACACATTCACTGAGGTCGACGGACGGTAAAGTACACGCCTGAAGCCGTAACAGGGGAGATATATTTCAGGTGTGGCATTCACAGGGAAACAGGCAGGAAAGGAGAGAGATGTGGCCGCACTGTGAACTTAAATTACACAATCTTTCAAGCTGCATTTGGACCGATAATCCCCCCGGCTTCCTTCTCTTTGGTGACACAGGAGAAGAAGAGCGACGTGCTCACCGGCTGCAGTCTCAGAGGACAGTGGATAAAGCATTAAGTAGTGCATCGGCTCATCATGTACAGGCCTGTGTTTCACCATTAAGCACTGAGCAGACTGTTCTTGCATCATGAAACATTCAGTACTCCAGTGCATGTTGTTGACTTTTAGACAATAAACCAAAGCGTAATATAATTAATTGTCTTTTCTCACAATGAACAAGACAAGACAACACCTTGGCGTGACTGTGGTGGACCATTTTGACTATTTACTAACATGGTATAGACCGAATGATCATTTGATAATTCTTGAAGATAAATGGCAGCTAATCAAAGATTAATTGAATCATTAGGTGCAGCCCTAATTGGAATACATCCACTGAGTGTGTGTTGTTAAAGATAGCTCATCTCACCAGCAGGACAAATCAATGCTTACATTAAGCACACCATGATATATAACTGTTCCTATTGTCATGACTTTTGTCCACTCTAATGCCACTTAGCATTTAACCCGTGTCAGCTCTGGTAATGTGCGTTAAATAGGACAGATCACGTGACCCGAGTGACTAGAATGTTGCACCGTATGTGGAGCTGGATCAATCTATAGGCTTGTGGCCAGGCCACTGTGTCCCGTGTGTGTGTGTGTGTGTGTGTGTGTGTGTGTGTGTGTGTGTGTGTGTGTGTGTGATCGTGTGAGACTGGTGCCTCCCTGCATATGGTAACTCAGCGTTAGCTACACAACTGCTCTCTGGGTGGATGCCATGGTAATCCTCTCTCTGCTTGGCTCACCGTCTCCCTCTCCCTCTCTCTCTCTCTCTCTCTCTCTCTCTCTCCCACTCACCCTCACCCCCGGTGTCTCTTTTTTATTTTGCATTTTTATATTACTGTTGCTCTGGGTGTCCAAATCTCAGCCTGTTTATATTATTAAAGGCTGTCTTCCAATCTGTTTATAATAACAATTCCAACTAGACAGAATATATGCAAAGAGTGTTTTAAATGGTGTCAGTATTGTCAGAGTAAAGTAGCTGAAAATGTCCTCCAACTTCAAAAATAAATAACCAGTAAAAACGATTTTTACATGAGATTTGCTTTGACCCAATGCAATTGTGGAGACAATCTGATTTTGCAGATTCAATATGGGTGAGTAAATCAGATTATGCCTTCTGTCTTTTCATTTTCAAAAAGGCTTTACCAGAACAGATTTGCTCACACTCGTAAGCCAAGGATAAATACAATGCAGTGCCTTTGCTGGGGTCATGAAAGTATGCCGTCTGGTCAAAAAATATATGAATTAAAACATTAAAGGTCTCCTATTATACTGTTTTTCATCAATATATAATAGGTCTCAGATATATACAAAACATGTCTCTGAAGTGTTTGGCTCCAAATACCAAACAGATCATTGTAGCATCCCATAAACCCCTCTGTTTCAGCCCTGTTTCAAAAGTGCTGATTCTCTGTGTGTTACTTTAGATGAAAATAAGGAGCCCCTCCCCACGTCCCTCTGTGAGATATTTGGTTAAAAAGAACACAATGGTGCTCTAGGAGGAGATTCAGGTGATAAGGTGGGGGGGGGGTTACCTTGGTTGGGGATTGGCTAATGGTTACACAAGCCAGACATCATAAAGTGGCCCAAATCTGATCAGCTCATTTTCAGACAGGTTTTTATATAAATGGATCAGGAGAAAAAGAGAGGGGGTCTTTTTTCCTGAAACTTTCAGAATCTCCTTACACAGAGGGGACACATGTTTACATATAAAAGACATGAAAAAGTGGATATTGCATAATAGGTGACTTTTAAAGGTGAAACAGGCAACTTTTTCTCCTGAAAAAAATCCTACATCAAGTATTTCAATGGGAATTAAAAGGAGCTGTGGCAGTATGAGATACACAAGAGTCCAATATCCTGTGAAGCTGATTTTAGGAGTAAAAACCAGAAAAGGTGATGGGGGGCCGGTCTGCTGCTTGCCAGCCAACAGCCAGAGCTTGATCTCAAGGATTAGTAAAGGCTCATGATTTGGAATTAGCTCCAAACCAAACACATGACTGACTTTTCTTGCACAAAGCTAGCAGTCAAATCATAACACTGCTCTCTATTGTGAGGCCAAGAGTCAGAGGGATGCATTTCTTCTCTCCTCCACAAGTGTGTCTCCCACAGCATGTTGGATTTACACCATCATACAATGTCCCCCATTACTTCTCATCATAATAAATACAGTGGACTACATTCTGCTAAGACTCTGACAGAGCTCTGGTGTTAGACATTCACCATGTTCATTATTTTCCTCCCACTGCCAATGTCAATGCATGACAAAGAGTTTCTAACAGCAATGTTTGGTGTTCATTTGATACATTGTTCATATTTGCTCTGTGTTCACAAAATGCATCTCATTCAGAGCTTCCCTTTCACATGACTCTTTCCGTTTCAGACCTCATTATGTTACACAATAGACAAGAGTGGACTGGGACATGTACTTTAGCCCCAGCTGCATAGCGCTTGGTAAACTAGCCTAGTAGCGATATCATTTGGACAATACACTTTATAATAAGAACGCTTGACATTCAAACTGGACTGCTTGATTCATGAAAAAATGTGCTTCTACAAAAAGCAATTTGCAGTCATATGAGAACTTTTTCAGCACCCAAGCTGTTTTGTTCTCAAGAGTGGAGAACACTCCCTTTCCGGATTTAAAGCACTTCATCTCAAACAAATGTATGCAATGCCTAAAATGAACATTTCCATTAGGTTTCACAAATAATGTAATACAATCCAAGCTATAGCAGAAGATGAGGTTTTGAGTACGATACTCTATCACAACAAGGAGCGCTGGCAGCCAATGACAGAGAGTCTCCACTCTCGCTGTGTGCTGTCACTTTCCTACCAGCCATGCTCCTGCTTTTCACCCCCGTCTCCAGTCAACTGCAGCCTCGCATTATGAATAGCAAGCAGACAACCTCCGAGATTTCCAGAGACAAATACAATATAATTTACCTGAAAAGAGCAACGTTGTTGTGCTTACATTTCTCAAAAGATCATTCATTTGAATAAATTGATGACATACAGTTTTTCCATTTACTTCTCAGGGCTGTTTACACACTCTCTATTCTTTAGCCTCTGTCTCAGTAGAGATTTTTAAGGGGCAGCTAAAGACTCACCTTTTCCGACAGGCTTTTGGGGCGTCGGAGGAGGTGAGTTTGTAGCTGTTTTTCATTGCTGTTTTATCCTATCTTTTACTTGCTGTGTTTTATGCCTTTTATTCTACATTTTATAGTTGTATTTTGTATTGTGTACTGTATGTAAACCACTTTGTACATTCGTGTGGAGAAGGGTGCTATATAAATAAAGTGTTACTTATGGCGCAGTTCCACTGCAGCGTGGAGCTCGCTTTAAGCGTGCCGTGTCGTGCCGTCCCCTTTTTTGGTTGTGCTTCCACTAGGCCAATTACCGGCGCGGCACGGCGCGGGGCCACTTTTTCACCTCTTTTCTGGCCCTAGAAAATTGTGGTTCTATCGGGGCCAACAAACAGGGCTGAGTCGGGCTGAGTATGCTAAACTAGAGAGAGGAGCGCTGGCAAGAGGGCTAGAACTACAACAAGATGGACATATTTGACCGTGATTTAATTGTAATACACGTTTCAAAATGATGCCGAAGTAACAACATACTGATACCGGTTAGTAAAAACCATGAATTAATGCTTTGACAAGTCTGCAGACAGACGGCAGGCGAAAAACCTTTTAAAATTCGTGTTTTTCTAGATGGAGATTGGCTAAGCTAACGCAGTATATGCCCCGACCGTCCACACTCACAACAACGGCCTATACAGACATAAATAAAGCAGCGACTGTATTCACCATGACACAGACAGTCTGTGGTGTGTACTTGTTTAACTTTTGTCTAGTTTCTGAACATATATAAGGAGCTGTGAGCTCTGAGTGCTAACAGCTAACGGCTGTGTTGTGTTTCTGGATTTCTCATTGAAGATGACGTCACGGCTCCGCCTACACTGCGTTACTATAGTAACTACCCCAGTTCCTAAACTGTAATGGAAGCGCAGCATGAAGTGAGTCGGCCCTGTTAAGGCCCAACGCGGCCAAGCCGTACCGAGCCGTACCGAGTGTGGCCGAGGCCGACCGTGTAGTGGAAATGCGCCATTACTTACTTACTTTAAGTGGATGGATTGTATGTATGTTTAAGGGAATTGTGCGTGCTAATGCAGAATTTAAAATAATGCATTTTCAATATTTGAAAATAAAAGATAACAGTTGCTCTTACCTGGAGTTCACACCAAGCCACCTCCACCCAGGTCTCCGTGTCCAGGCCTTTATACACCGTTTTGAAGGCTCCTCTGCCCAGTTCAATGTCAAACTTGAGGAACCTGCCTCCAGGAGAGGTGGCCACAGCCTTCATCTCTGCCTCTTCCTCCAGCTCACGGTCCCTCTCCTTCCCCCTCTGGGCGAGTGTGGAGGAGGATTCATCCTTGCCCGGCTCCTGGCTGGAGCTGGGGCAGGACGGGTCGTTGCCGATGGCAGCACAGGAGGAGGCAGCCCCTTGCTGCTGGGCACTGCTGGTGAAGATGGAGTCTGAGGTGCGCAGCTCCAGGTGGGGGGCGCTGTGGGGCGCCTCGGGGGGTCTATCCACCTCATCGTCCTCCTCACAAATCTCCACACTCTTTCTGAAGAAGCGCTTCTCCCGCCTCAAACGTTTCTGGCCAGTGTCGGCTGATAAGGATGGCATGGAGAACGAAATCTGTCTGACTGGGTTCTCCTCGCCCTCCTGGCCGGCTTCCCCTCCTCCTCCTCCTCGGTTTCCTCCGCCCTCTCCTCCTGTTGCTTTCCTCTCCTGAGTGCTGGAGGAGGGGAAGTCGGCGGGGGTGCTGTGTGTCCTCTCCTTCTGTTGGTCGGCCTTGCCCTCCTGCTCTGTGTCCTCCTCCTTCTGCCCATCAGGTTTCCCCGAGGAGTCCTCGGTGCCTGTGGGCTCTCCTGGGTCAGTAGCCATGGAGAATGGCCTTTCCCACTCCTCCTCCACCTCCTCCAAACCTTTGCTCCACCGTCAGTCCCCGTCTCTCTCTCTTTCTGGGGTCACCCACTCACCCTTCTCGACTGTCAGGCAGTTCTTCCAGTGCTGCAGGTGATTGGAGGCCGTCCGTGGTCAGACTGGTGACCCCCTCCCACTTCTCCTCCTGTCTGAGCCCACAGCTGTTAGAGAACAGTTTCCGTCTTCTCTTTCCTCCTCACCATGTCCTATATTTTCTTTATATCCACTGTTAGAAACACACACTAAACTGGGACTTTTTCCTCAAGCTTTTTGGAAACAATGCTGTTTTTGAGTGAATACCTTCAAGTAAACCCTGCAAAACACAAAAAAACATTGCATTAGTATTTTGAATCAGTGTGATGATGTTGCCATATTTAACTATCTTAAGAAAATGCAACTAAGATACATTTTTTGTGAGATGAGATAAGATAGCAGAATTCAGTGGGTCCCCTCTATTTTTCAGGAACAAGACGAACCAACATTTAAGACGTGAGCTTACAGGAATTCTTTACAGCTTAGTAGGAATGTCTAAAAGTGTGTGTAAACTGGAGTGGGTGGATTTAAAATGCTTTAAATTCCACTAAGAGTTGTTACTGACTCAACAGCTCTTTCTTGTAAAGCAAACAACTGGTAATACATACAGAGCCACGGTATTACCATAGAGAATGTGAAGTGCTGATTGCCTGCAAAACTTCTGCTAATGCATTTTGAGCAATTAGGCTCACATCAAAATACTGCGAACATTAAAGGAAACATAATGTGAGTAGATTTCAATGATTGGTGCGGATGTTTCCAGTAATATGAAGTACAAATGTCTTTAAATGGTATTTTTCCACAGCTGCTTGCCAAAGTGACCTGAGGTAATTAATTGGGCAATGTTCATTCAAACTCTGTAGTGAAGTCTGGCAGCACAGCTTGTACCCGTATAGGGATTTCCCAAAACCTGAAAAGCTTCATCTCTGCTATGGGCTAAACTTTGCCCTCAAAGACTATCTAGCTGGCCTGGTCAACAATTACACTTCATCAATGGCAAAGTGCACGTTAATCAGCGTCTTGTGACTTAACTTGTGTTCAACGGCTCCATTAGTGGACAGAAAGCTGCCGTTAGGAATATGCGATTCCAAACATTAAATATGGATGATGAACTATGGGCCGGTTGAGTGTGAATTATTCATACACAGAGGGATTGTCGGCCTGAAGTGACTACCACACATCTGCAACAAAGGGCTCATAAATATCCACAACTATGATTGTGATTATCATCAGCACAGGCAACAGTGTTACTCAGTGCATAGCCAGTCACCCATTCAGAGAGGGTGATAAAAGACCGTTTGAAATTGTCCCGTAGTGTGATATGAATCTGCAGCAGGCTTCCTCTTACATGCCAAAATCCCTGCAATCCTGTTACTCATTCACATTATGGGATTGTGTCTTTCTGATGACAACTTTATATTAATTTCTCACTCTCCATCTGGGTATGATAGCTCATTTGCCCTCTGGCAGCCAATGATCTCTCAATGGATTGGAGCTGTTTAATTAAGACACCTGCCAGCCTAAAGTCACCCTGGTGCCAACGTCTAGAGACGGGGTTAGTCTACTAATTACGGAGGACAATAAAGCCTTAAGTCACTATTTAAGATTAAGCAGCTGAAATTACAGGAGGAGAGCATGCTAATGCATACCAACAACCAGTGGCGGTTCTACGGGGTGGCACGGGGTGGCAGCTGCCACCTCAGAAAAATGCCTTGCCACCCCAGCTGCCACCCCAGTTGGCAGCTTTGTTTTGAAAGAAAAGTTGTGGCTCATCGGACATTTATGAGAGAAAATCTCTAATGTCCGAGTGCAAGTGAATGCAGCACAATACGCGAGCCTTGTAACCCCTCCCCCGGCCCTGGCGCGAGCGTGGAAATATGATTGGCGGCGATTTCATTTGAACGGGACGGCGCAAAACGAGAAGCATTCGGATCCAAGTAGACGGAAGGACTGAGGTATTTGCGGTCTACAATGACAGAGAAGAGACTGTCAAGTTTGGCTGTACCCAGCATTGAATCAAAGCGCACCATAGCTTTAAATCTTAATAAGTTTGTGAGGCGTTTTGCTGAACAAGATGGTAATCGCCGCATTCAGCTGTAATAGGCATGCCAACTTGATGCTCTGCTCACGGATGACTCGATGAGCATAAAAAACTGTTAAGATGATGACCTTACGTGTGTATAACATTTTTCTTCTTTGTGGGGGTCTGCCCCCAAAAAACAGTTTCAAGTCCTGAGAAAGTCAAATAAGACGGTGTGTAAAACTTCACTGCCCAGCCAAAAAAAAGTAACCACTTTGATTTAACTAGGCCAGTAGGTAAGGACTTTCCACTGGATAATAACTGCAGCGATGTATATGTTTTAGCTGAATACACGTTTTTTTAACCCTAACTGATGCAGTTCGTCACTTCTTTAATGTTTGTTCTTTCTGATGTAAAGTTAAGGTTGTAACTGTTTGCAATGAAGTCGTGGGGCGCTGAACTGTTCTTTTGATTCTTTTGATATATGATAGTAATTACTTGTCTTTCAAATTTGAAGGAGGGTGAGCAAGCATCTTGAGGAACATTCATCATTAACTCCTCCAAAAAATATAGTTTATTTAATAATAACAGTGAATATGTGAATCATAACAGTGATTGACAGCTGATAGGAATAATATGATTGTTAATAGTATCATATTAATTTAGACAAACATCGACGAGACAGTTAATTAATGTACTTATTGCAGCAGTCTGCATAGATTTGGTACCCCTGCTGGTCTAAGAGTGAGACAAACTCATTCAGTTATTGTTCAGTTAAAATTCATTAAATTATGTCTGCCACCTTATATATTTCTATTTAATTACATTACATGTTACTTGTTAGACGCTTTTATCCAAAGTGACTTACATACTCAATACTGTGGGCAATCCCCACAGGAGCAATTTGGGGTGAAGTGTCTTGCCCAGGGACACAACGACATGCAGTGGGGTTTGAACCTGTGACCCCCTGATCCAAACACCAACACACAACCCACTGCACCACACGCCCCAAAGTAAGGCTTTACTGATGTGCCACAATAATGTCACCTATGTTATTGAGTTAAAATATAAATATTGTGGCTTTCCATGTTAACATTGATTGATATGACTGCGATTAAATCAGCATATACTTCTGCCAGGGGATGCCACCCCTCAAATTCTCCTGCCACCCTCTTGCCACCCCATGAATATTTTTCTAGATCCGCCCCTGCCAACAACAGAAGCTGAAGCGGAGGAATGCGGCTGTCCTTGGAGAGTAATGATGCAGTAAATGGAAAGGAAAAAGTGCAGTCTGGTTCAGGGTATTAACTCACTTTGCATATTAGTTTACAACTCAACACATATTACTTTACAACTGAGCATGTGGGACGTTCAAGGGCCACTGCTATGGCTTGGGTTACAGCACTCTGAGGTATGGAGCTACCCACAAGGACCACACATGTCTATCCTGTCCCCTGAAATGTGTTCGTCGCTGCCAGACAGGCTCCGCCAAAGTCCCAGCAGCAAGTCTAATTTTAATGAGCAAAGCCCACAGTGACCACTTGGGGCTCGTTGAGTGGCTCGCTGAGGCTTTTATCTCTTTTTAAAAAGGCGGCCATTACACGTCACGTCAGGCCTGTTGTCTCTCTAGGCTCATTGCAAATGAGTCTGACGTGCAATGCTCCTGGCTGTCACTCAAATTAAAAACACAATGGGCTGATATCAGACCAACTGCTAAGAGGCGGCTGGAGGAGAATTCCAGTTCAGCAGCATTTCCCAGACGCAGACACTTCCAGAGAAAAATCGTTATCATGCACATGACTAACACGTCAAACTCCACACCCAATAACAAACTGAAACAAAAATATTGATGTTTGAGATGAAACTCATCTAACCAAAACTAAAGGAGTCTCTGTCTGTATGTCATGTACTGTGTGTCATTAAGTGTTTGTATGTTATGTAATGTATGCACTGTATGTATGCATGTAAGAACTGTCTGTATGCATATAAGAACTGTATGTATGTATGCATGCATGCATGTGTGTATGCATGTACGGTTTATTGCTTCGTTTGTCTGCATGTTGCATATATTTTATTTCGATTATGGCGAAACTTGGTGATGACGTGTAACAAGTAGGAACACACTACATTTGGAGCTTTGCCAAAACAATGGGCAGATATATTCATTATTTTTTTAACTTTGTTTAACAGCTTTAGCTGAGCTCCGTGCTCTCTTAATGCCTTACTAGTTTGATATTAATTGATTAGCAATCAATTATATTTATATTTCATTATTGCCGAGACAAGACATGGTACACTCATCCAAAAGGTTATTCCTAATATTGAATTTCCACCGTTTTTTGTAAAAACAACAAAACACGATAAAGAACTCCTTTCATTAGAGACGATTGAGTCAGCCAATGTGTAATTAAATGATTAAACAGTTAATTAAGGGATCAACTATTCAAACTACCAGTGGGGACATACTGTAGTACCGTGAGGGTAGAAAGGTAAAGGCTAACAGGATGTGGGAAACCTAAAGGGGGAAAACAACAGGCAATAAAGAGAGGGAAGTGGTCCTTTAAACAGGAGCTTATTGGCCATTTCCCCAGGGCAAGGAGTTCCCATGAAAGCCACATACCGGACAGAGTTATCACAGTACATCAAACACGTTCAACCCCATCACTGTCTCTCACACCCGCCCATAGACACACACCCATAGACACACAGGCAGATACACATTTCAGGCACACACCAGCAGGGTAGAACAAACTTTGCATTTCCCTCTCTCTTTCTCTCTCTGTCCACTCTCTATCTATCTTTTATTCATAGACAAAAACACACAAACATCAAAAGCAAACCCTCTCTCGCACCCAAACCCCATGTCCCCTTTCAATGAAAGAATGCCGAAAGGAATTTCCTGACAGCAGGGAAATGACCAAGCGTTGTATATCAAAGTTGAAGATAACAAACCCCAAATCGCAGTGTAAACTGTGACCTCGGCAGCAAAATGATTGCACAGCAAGATAACATGTCTGAATCGTCACCTGTTCATATTTCTAGCAGAGCTGTGGGGACATGAGAACTGCATATCTGACATGCTGCACACTGCATGCCCTCCAGTCGTCTGAGAGCCTCTTACATGAGCAGAACACCTGCAGATGCCTCACGGTTTGTGAAATGTGCAGAGAAAATCATGTTGACACCTTTGCTTTATGACTGCCAAAGATGTGATTTCTATTCTATTCTCAAAACCCGCTGAAAGCCACGTTTGTTTTCGCTAGAACTTTTCGTTCTGTGCTCAAAGTTGTGAGACGAGGAGGCAAAAACAGGCCCTATATTAATACATACACTCTAAAGTGTGCACACAAGACAAACTGAAGTGCACATGCAGAATCGCCTACACAATCTATAACTTAAAACACACAAAAAATCTTTGCAACCCTATGTGCACTTTTTGTATCCCTTACTTCATGGGGATACACACATTAATCCCCTGGAACAAACCGCGCTGAAAAATTAGGCGGGCAGACAAAGGAAGAGCCAGGGGATTCTGTGTGTGTGTGTGTGTGTGTGTGTGTGTGTGTGTGTGTGTGTGTGTGTGTGTGTGTGTGTGTGTGTGTGTGTGTGTGTGTGTGTGTGTGTGTGTGTGTGTGTGTGTGTGTGTGTGTGTGTGTGTGTGTGTGTGTGTGTGTGTGTGTGTGTGTGTGTGTGTGTGTGTGTGTGTGTGTGTGTGTGCACAGACAGTGCGGTTTTAGCAATTGAGGGGGACGTGTAGATGAAAAGAGTGAATAAAAGGTGGCGAGGGGGACAGGAAGGGATTGTAGTTGGTGGGAGCAGGCGGACAGCAGAGTTTCAAACAGTGAGAGGGAAGGAGAGATGGAGCGGGGGGGCCGGCGAGTAGAAGGGGTGGGAAAAATGTGTGTGTGAAAGAGAACAAGAGAGAGATAAAGAGAGGGGGGCGGCACAGACAAAAAGTGGGCTGGGGGGATTTTGCCTGATAAAATATGTGCCACTGTTTGTGTGAATGAAAGCAGTGACTATAGCTAAAAAATGTGCACAGGCAAAAGCTACAGTTGTGGAGAGGAGGAGGAGGAGAGGAGAGAGGAGGAGAGGAGGAGAGGAGGAGAGGAGAGGAGAGGAGGGGAAAGGAAAGGAAAGGAGAGGGGAGGAGAGGGGAAAGGAGAGGAGAGGAGAGGAGAGGAGATTAGAGGAGAGGAGAGGAGAGGAGAGGAGGAGAGGAAAAGAGGAAAAGAGGAGATGGAAGGAAAGGAGAGGAGAAGAGAGGAGGAATGCTTTAGTGAATGGAAAAGGTTGAAAACATGAGGTGATTACATTAGCATAGGAATAGTTTCCGTTGGCATGTCCAGTGTCACAACGAGACCGGGTGCAGAGAGACTGATTATATGAACCTGTTCAGTTACTCTTGCTGCAGTATTGTCCTTATTAGATTAAGGATTTGTGCTGATCTGGGCATAAATGAGGTTTAACTTTATGTTGTTCTGCCTTTTGATTTATGGTGCATCTCAAAAGTTATGTAAACTAGTAGTGTAAGTAATTACTTTAAGCAGTGAGTAATTCAGTAAAGTAAGGCAACTAGTAGTGTGTAATGTATTACTTTCTTTGAGTAACAGCCGCAGCTGCCTAAGATCAAGCAAAGTTTTTTGTGAGCCAATTCAGTACAATACATATATTATAAGTCTTAGCTTTTCCATATGTAAATGTACATATGTAAATGTAAGTAAGTAAGTATAGTTGTATTTCGTGTAAAGTTATATGAGTGTACATTTTCAGCAAGTGTAGCAGTTTTTCAGTTCATCAACTGCCAGCTGCAATAGTTTGCATATTATCACCCTTTTGGAAACTCGACTGAGTGAGCTTTATTATGCTAGGCAGGAAGTCAGGAATGAGACTGGGAAAGAAAGACATGTGAAAAAAATGTTTGTATTTTCTCGTTCGACTTACATTGAGATTTTGTTGCTTTAGTAATGGAGCATCCCTCAGTCATGTTCTGTGTTAACTGCCTATAACACACATGTAAGCATATTTAATGCTACACTTGAATCCACTCTTTTTTCAGGTTTAATCTCAAGGTGATCTAAAGAGGGGATGGAGGCGGAGTGATGTGGGGAAACAAGGCAGCAGTAGCTCAAGGTCTCAGAGGGCTCCAGCCAAACTTCAAATGGGCTTTATGTCAAGTAGCAACTGTTCTGAAGATCACAGGTCTGCATCTGATCTCTGCAGCTCAGCTGTTGACCGCAGCGGCAGGTAAAACAACAAACACCACATTTGTCCAGCGAGGCCGTGTCTAACAGGCATGACTTCTGGCACAGAGTCACTCCAGGATACTTTACTGTAAAGAGGCAGGTGTAAACCTTCAAAGAGCTGCCGCCGTCACGTTGAAACAGGAGCCTGGTGGGCTCAAACTTAAAGGTCCCCTATTATACTGTTTTTCATCAATATATAATAGGTCTCAGATATATACAAAACATGTCTCTGAAGTGTTTGGCTCCAAATACCAAACAGATCATTGTAGCATCCCATAATCCCCTCTGTTTCAGCCCTGTTTCAAAAGTGCTGATTCTCTGTCTGTGACTTTAGATGAAAATAAGGAGCCACTCCCCACGCCTCTCTGAGAGATATTTGGTTAAAAAGAACACAATGGAGCTCTAGGAGGAGATTCAGGTGATAAGGTGGGCGGGGGTTACCTTGGTTGGCTAATGGTTACACAAGCCAAAAAATCGTTATGACATCATAAAGCGGCCCAAATCTGATCAGCTCATTTTCAGACAGGTTTTTATATAAATGGATCAGGACAAAAAGAGAGAGAATCTCTTTACGCAGAGGGGACACATGTTTATGTATAAAAGACATGACCTTTAACGTGTGTGGCACGAGAACAATTAGTAGCAATGTTCAGAACAAGCGCCGTTTGAAATAGACAGACAGAGAGAAGACAATATAATGCCTTAATGAACAGAGCTTAAAAATCACCCATTATATTCTAAATCCAGGACAGTGTGCAATTGTACAGGAAAAGATAATGCAAATAAACTGCTCGGACTGCGCCTCCTACTCATGTATTGCACGAGTTTCTTCATCACAAGTTGCTTCACTGTGTGTCTTCTAACTTTAGGCGGCATTCTGAAATCGGATGAAAAACCTCGAAAGATGGAGCACTAGAATCAAACACACAATTATTGTTCTCTTCCCATTAGGGGAAACTCAAGGCTGAAACACAAGAAGGACTTTTGTCCAATCCAGGTCAAGCATGGGAGAGAGTGTAGGTAGCACACACAGAGCACTGTTCACTGGGGGAGAGAGACAGGGGGAATATGTGTTATCTAACCCCCCTTTGTGTTCTCTTTTATTCCCCTCAGCGAGCACATCCCACACCAAAGGACTCCTCTAATCCAGGTGAGAGAACGGCTACTTAATCAGCCAATGATGAATAAGGATTACATGTTACTAAAGTAGCTTACTACTGCTGGAGGTCATATCAAGAACTGAGCCTCTTTAACCCCTGCAAATGCTCTACAAACTGTAATGGATGATGCAATACTCAGATATCAGCAAAGAGTTGAAGATATTTAACAGCTGTCAGCCTTCCTAAAGACCGGAAGCATCCTACATATCACTCCCAGTGGGACTAACAGTGTTTTAAATAGCAATACAGGAGGAGGGAATGCTTGATGATATACATAATTTATAGATAACATAACAATGTGTATATTATATTACTTATAAAATAGAAACAGGGGTAGTTGGCATGGGGATTTTTAGTGAAGGATGATTATCTGACAAAATTCCTCCGAGCAAAGAACCCATCATGCAACGAGTCATGCAGTATTCGTGAAGCAAAATGCAATAACATGTATGTTATTTATATGCTACAGTACATAGTCTATGACACAGTGATGCCTGGATGTGCAAGCAACCATGAAGTGCAGCTATTGGCTAGCTGGTAGCTCAGCTGACTTTTTAGAAACGCCATGCAACGGAAAGGCACAAAGTACAGTCACCATACAAGACAGTAGATGTCTCACGCACCACAAATCAAACATCCCCAAAACCTCCGAGGTTTTCAGTGCCCCGAGCACAGACACAATTTGCAATGAGATAAACCTGTGCAGTCTGAGGGCCTGACAGGGGAGTCTGCCTGCAGGTCTGCACTTGACTTGAGTGTTTTAAAAACACACAGCATAATTAGATACAGAACAAAAAGCAGCCACATGAGAGGATAAATACCTAACAAGCTATCATGAACAAGCATACAAAATAACGCCTTACTGGGGAGCCACAGTAAAATAACGAGTATATTACTACATGCATTGTAAATGAAAATAACAACAAACATCACTCACCCGAATGTACCATGGTAGCTCGTCGGTCCAGGGATATATTTATTTAAAAAACGAGCTGCTGAGCACCGATAGCTAGGATTTCTTATTATTCCTGTAGCTTTTGACTAATTACACGACTTTACACTGGGCTTTCTGCCTACAAAATATGATTTACAACCACTGAAAAAATACATTTACAAAAAAAAGCTTTAGAAAAAGAAGTCCGTCTCTTATTCTGTGCACATTTGGAACGCGTTGTTGCGGTGCGGTCGGCTTGCTCACTCCCCGGCGGAGTCGTCGAGCCTCGGTCTGGGAGCAGGCGGTGAGCACTTGGTGTACCGATTCAGACGATGTTGGCCGGTGTTGCTTTACGGATCTTTACCACTCATTATTCGGTTAAACGGCTCCGAGTTGTGCGCCTGGCCATTCATGTGCACCCGAATAATATCAGTAACTTATGTACATAATTTACAACGCGCGACTCCAGCGGCCTTCAGCAGGTTCGCGTGTGTAGTGAGCGCGCTGCTGCTGCTGCCTGTTCTCACTTGCTCCTCATCATCCTGAGACTGAGCACACGCTGAGATCACTCCGCCACAAGAGGGCGCTGCTGCTGCGCGGTTCAATCATGGGTTATTTCCACGGCTTCTGAGACTCTAATGCTGCATTCACATGCTCCTCGTAAACTTCAGTTTCGGCACAGCAGCCACGCAAACATGATGATTTTAACATTAGACCAATAGGATGAAGTGAATAATAAAATAAAATAAACAATAAAAACCGAGAAAATAAATAAGAGATATAGAGAAAAGAGAGAAAATGAATAAGATTTAACAGCAGTGATTAAACAAATATTTTTAAGGTGGCATTATTATTTTTCTCAATCAATCTCAATCTTTATTTATTTATATAGCACATTTAAAACAACCTTCAGTTGACCAAAGTGCTGTACAGGCAATAAATATTAAATAACACAATGGGAGTACAATAATAAAACAATAATTAAAAACATGATAAAAAGCACAATAACTAGAAAAATATTTAAAAAAAAAACACATACAAATGTAAAAATGTAATGTTCAACTAGTATTAAAAGCCAGTGCAAAGAGGTGTGTTTTTAGCTGAGATTTAAAAAGTTCAATTGACTCAGCAGTCCGGATATGTACTGGGAGGCTGTTCCACAGTCTGGGAGCTGCAACAATGAAAGCCCTGTCACCTCGGGTCTTTTTCCTGCACCGAGGAACCACCAACATATTCTGCTGAGCTGATCGCAATGCTCTAGCTGGAGCATGGCGGTGCAACAACTCAGACAGGTAATGTGGTGCCAGTCCATGCAATGATTTAAAAACAACAAGTAAGTACTTGAACTGGATCCTGTAACTGACAGGAAGCCAATGAAGGTCTGCCAAAACGGGTGTGATGTTTTTCTCACTTTAACCCTCCTGTTATAACCCCATTTAGTGTTTAACATTTCAAGTGCTTAACATCATATATTTATTTGATATTTCATGTTTTTTTCTGATTTAATGGGGACATCTGGGTAAACGCAAAGTTAACATGATGATATATGTTGAAAGCATTTTGCATGTGTTGTAGTGTCCTTTGGTGTCATATTGACCGCAAGTTGTTTTAGTTATAAAAACATGAAATATGCATTTACATTTTATGTACATTTCTTTAGGTTGTTTGTTACGTTTTCTTTATTGGGATATGTAGGAAGATAAAGTACCTGACTATAAAGTTGTACAGTAATTTCTAAAGTTGTATAATGAATTAAATTACAATCATTTTCTCAAGGTTAAGTTTTCAGATGAACTCCAAGAATTAAAAATACAAGTCAATTTAGGGCGAAAAAGAGGGTGAATGTCTTTAATATAAGAAATAAAGTAATTACATAACTACAGTAAGTCAATGTTTTACTATGATTGGGCCTACTTGTATTTTGTATATAAAGCATGTCTCAAAAATAAGGATGTTGTTGATCAGAAAGTAATTATTTGCTGAGCCCATAAATAGAGGAACATTTTGAGAAAGTCAGTCATGTAAATCAAGACATAAATATTCAGAATGAATACATTAAAAATAAATGATCAATAGTTTCAGTATCCTCCCAAAATACAATTCTTGGTTTCAAGTCGTTTTAACAACATTTCACTGGATGGATACACTCTAAATTGTTTGTTTTCTTTTGCTTTTTGAGTTACGGGTAGCTGTTAAATCTGAACAAGCAATTAGCAGTATTCTATTATGTTAGGGAATACATGTTATCTTGTTATCTTAGTAAAGTAAAGAAGTCAAGATAATCCTAGCAATAAACTACATCATTATTCGACACTTAATATAACTCGTGGTCGCTACCTCGTCCTTTAAACATGATATAACCACGATATAACCCACAGTCCTTGAGAACACTGAACTCGTTCGTAAATACACCGCTTAAAATCCCGATTTGTTTAACAACACTTGAAGGCCCCATAACAGATTTCAATAGAACAATGAAATGAATCGTGTTTTAATGACAGTAGTGTTACAACCGACAGATTCAACGTGCAACACGACCCTGTGCTGCCCATGAACCAACCGTCAAACCTGAAATGTTCTACATTCAGTCCTCGGTGTTTATCAGCAGGCCATATGCTTCGAGAAGCAAATGCCTTGAGCGTAATGAACTGAGTAACCCCAGTCAGACTTTGTCTTCTGTCGCCCTCTGGTGGACTTCTTCAAGTATGTCAGTTTTATTCAGGTGCAATGAAAACACATGGAATATTGTGACACTTTTATTCATCACCATTACTGTCACAATATAGATACATAATATGATGCTTTTTAGAAAAACTCTTTACAATTGGAGGTAACATAATTCAGACAAAGGCGTGTAAAATGGACTTCTAACCATACAAAAAAATAATATTTATTACTATACATTTCCTTCCTTGTTAGGCTTGCAAGATGCCAAGGGGATACATTTAACATAAAAAACGACATACATAATCACTCATAATTATAGGTTGAATCTTTAAACAAAGCACTTGGTTGGAAGATGCTGACAGGCCTGAGACAACATTAAAACCATGGGCGGTGTTAAGATGAACCCACAATATTAATCAGTTTTCGAATAAAGTATTAAAATAAATAGTTTTATCAATGAAAATTGACGTAGGCCAAATTTATCTGAATAAACTGCAGTGTGTCAAGTCCTTAGTAAACAATGGCCGCTAGCACAAGGCATAACAATATCACTGAATTATGTATCACAGGATGAATATATATTAACAGATTTAAATATAAAATCTGCCTACAGACCTAGTGCTTTGTAGGACATGTAAACTACTAGTGTACCTCTTTTATGTGTTTTCTGTGTTTGTAGGGATTAGGTCTCCAAAGGTCTTAGTGTGAAAGCAGAGGGTCTTTTTCCTTCTGAACATCAAATGTCCTGCACAGAATATTGACACCCGACAGACAGAGGAAATATGTCCATTTCCTTCAAATGGCTTTGGAAGACCTACCCCAGCTGTTTTCATTCACTCAACACCGTTACCCTTTGGTCATCAAACATTTGGTCTTTCAAGTTTCCCTTAACAGTTTTTACTTGTTTCTACAACATTACTGCGGCTCAAAAGTGTCTCACAAAGCGTAATGCACAAATCCTCTAACAAGTTCCAGCAATTTTAAATATATCAAGTCCCAAGACAATCATTGCAGTCAACTCATGCATATGCCACGAGAGGGGGGAAAAAATGCCGTTCGTGGTCCTGATCTTGGATGGTTTCAATCTTTCAGCGTTTTCCAATCATCTGGATCAACTGCAGCCAAATCAGGTGTTACTTTACTTTATGTGAGCGGGTATTCGTTGGGATTATCCTTCCAAAGGTGGTCGCAGGGGAATACAGCCATCCATCTCCAGAGACTCGGGCCAGCCTTCGTACTTGTTGCTGCTCTTAGTGTTCTTCATTCGCTAATGTGAACAGCCATAGGCAAACAGAAATCGTGTCAACAAAACAGACTGGGATTCACCAAACAAGTTTAAATAAATATAAAAGTGTGTTCAAATAAATAATTACTACCATATAACATGTGTTGGACTTATTGCAATATATAGTATCTACAGTGTACATTACCACTAGTTTGTAACAGTACTTTTGCTACCCTTTATGCAGCTTTCAAATCAGTGTTAATTGTAAATGTTTTATTTCCTGTATTGTACTGTACATTTTACAGCTGCATACTATGTTGCTTTTCTGTAGAACTAAAGGGAATGGATCCTCAAGTGGGAGTATTCAGCTTTGTCTGTCATTACAGCACACATTGACACATTATTTGCTTAAATGTCTCTACAGTACCATCAACACTAATGAATCACAGCCATATTAAAAAGGTGTCACATTTTCCATTAAGGGGATTCCCTCTTGTGATTTTGGTTCATGGGAATATCCCCTCCTGTTGTACTGCATTTAAAGGTGGGGTAGATAAGTTTGAGAAACCGGCTCAAGATACACTTTTTGTTATATTCCATGGAATGCTCTTAACATCCCGATAGCAATGAATATCTTAAGTGCTTTGACAAAAAATCCTTAAAAAAATGTTCATCTGTGGAAGCCGTGGTACTGTAAAAAGCACGACCAATCATTTTAGCCGGCCCGGCTAAAATAATTGGATGGCCTACCTGCCTGTCAGACTTCCATCTGTGCACAAACTTATCTCGTGCCCTCATTGGTCATGTGCGCGTTCGTGTGTGTTGGAGGAGGGGCTCTGTAATGAAGTAGCAGATTTCTTCCGGCTGTGTATTTTCAAATTCTAGCGCACTCAAGCTGGTTTCTCCAAAATTACCTACCCCACCTTTAATTGAATGGCCTGTATCACACTTGTATCTATGAGTAACAAAACCTGATAAATGTTGTCTGGTGAGTCATTTTGCATTGTTCTTTATACAATGACACATAACACATTTTACACCATTACATCAAAAAGGAGCTGATGATTCCTACACTTAGCCTCTGTTCAGCATTGATAGTAACGTACCTGCTCAAACGGACTCTTATTCTCAATGCCCTTGGCTCCAACAAAAACCCAGCTGTCTCTGAAGGCCAGCTCCTTCACTGCCGTGCTCCCAAGCTCCTCAAACAGTCGCCGGGACTCATCGTTCATCCTGACATATGAAGATAAAGAAGAAGGTTAAAAGAAAAGTTTGGATGTTTTAAAGGGGGGTTGTATGAGGCAGTCTTCAAATGTGTGGCAAGAGCAAAGATAACGGCTTCAGTTACAGAAACAACAGCCTGTAGCTGACTGACCAACGTTTTTTAAATGTATAAATATAGCTTACACTTAAACTGATATTGATTTGTTTGCCTCTCTTTTAGAAAGAAGAAGAAGAAGAAGAAGAAGAAGAAGAAGAAGACATACTTTATTAAGCTCCAACAGGGAAATTACTTGTTCAACTCTGATGTTTTACACACATTTGACATAGGGTTGATATACATGAACATGCACAAACAGAACCACAAAAAAGATAGGAGAGGTGGCAGAGCAGGGGGGGCAGCCAGTGAGCTGGTGCTGGGAGCAGCTGAGGGTTCTGCCTTGCTCAAGGGCACCTCAGCAGTGTCCAGGAGGTGAACTGGCACCTCTCCAGCTATCAGTCCACACTCCGTATTTGTTTTGGTCCGATCCTGACGTGAACCGGCAACCCTTCTGTACTCAGGCCTTGTCCTTACAGACTGAGCCACTAAATCACATTTTGGTGACAGCCCCATTACAGCAGGAAATTGCTTTGTATCTGTGCAGTAACTCCTGGCACGCTGACCACCATCTAATGTTGGGAACATGGATAGTATAGCGACAGCAGGAAACAAACAAAGTCGCTGAGAGGCTGAGGCCAGGCATGTTTGCTACTGTATGACACGCTACAAAAAGCACTTGCTGAGATCAAAACTCTGTTGAATAATAATGTAGTTTAATGAAAACTGGGATGATCAACTTATTTTCCGCAGACAAAGACATTGTTATAATAATCAAAGCAATCCTTAAACTTGCGGTCAACAAAAAGTACAACGACCCCGAGTCACCCTCTCTTCCACACACACCGACCATAACCATGTGACCCAAAGCAACCAACCCATTGCGATCAAACAAATATCTTATACAAATACAAACCATTACCCCAATATAAAACTAGTACAAAACAAATGTGTATATCAAAATGCATTACTATGTACGTTTCATGGCTCCTACAGATAGGTACCTCGTATAATCCCACTTCAAAAATATCTCTTTTATGTTGACTATGAGGTGTGGCTGTTCATCTAAGCAAAAAGCTCAGTGGGATCTTTTTGGGTTTCAACACAGCCTTGGAGTTGAATCTTTCTAATTCAACTACTGAAATGTTTTTAAACCTCAAGGCTTTTTGAGAGTAACGGAGGGATCAACGATCGTGCTCATTTTATAAACACGAAAGGAATTAGGGTTCACAAATAACCCATTTACCAGACAATATTAAAAATAACATTCTTGACACAAGGGCACATGATTACCCACAGGGCATTTTGTCAAATTAAAATGTGTGACTGCTCATATGACCTCCTTTGGTGCCAATTTGAGCTTTTGCTTTTCCCAGCTAATTATTTAGAGACCTATTTCCTAAATGCACATTACTGTTTTGTAGGATGTCCCCATGTTTCCCAAATGTAATGGGTTCTTCCTTGGCCCCTCCAACCCCCTCTTATCAAGTGTCATGATGAATATAAGAGCAGTAGTTATTCTGTAACACTGCTGACAGACTAAACAATCAAAGGGAACTTTCAACATAACCTCCGTGGTGGAGTTCAAAATTATATTCTCTGTAGCAATTCAATGCGAACCATTCAAGTAATAACATGGAATATCCTTAAGCTACAGCTGACAATTTTGTCTATGAAACTCACTTTGCAGTGCATGAGGAAAACAAGAGAGCTGTTAGATAGGAACAGAGAGCCAACATGGATTCTTACTTTGTAGCTGCATCATCAAAGGAAGCCACAAACACGAGGGTTCCTTCATGAAGAGGCCGAAGATATTTCAACAGGTCCGAAATATCTGAAAACAAACATCAATCAGATGAGCCATGAACTGTGGTTTATCGCTTGGTATTGCCAAGCCATATGTACCACATGTGAAATATGAACGTTACATTAATGTCTGGTTTTCATTACCTCCTGCCCACATATCAAAACTCTTTGTGTCCAAGAGCTCTCCCGTCACCCCTGGTGCAGAAAACACAAGTTAAATGCTATAATAATTGTACAGAAGCTTCAAATATTAATTCAACATAGTCAGTTCAAAAGATGGATTAGGACACTCTTACCATTAACTAGAGCGATGTTTAGTCCTCTGCCAACGTTGTTCTTCACACTGCTCACTAACCTGTGAGGCAGAAACAGGAAAGGTTGAAACAGTGGCTAAAGGACCAAAGGAGAATAATACCTTGCCTAGCGCATACACATAAATGTACACACTAATACACACTGGCTGGCAATTGAGAAACAACCACAAATAGGAACCACAAATAGGAACCACAAATAGGAACCACAAATAGGAACCACAAATAGGAACCAGGACTGGAGACAAAAACAGAGAAAAGGGGGACAGACTGAAAGAATACTTGCATTCATCTCCCAGACAGGCTGGAGCTCTGGTTATGAAAGCACAGAGAGAAAGGGTAGAGTGTGAAACCAAAAAAAAGAACGAAAAAGACAGACAGCAGGGGGGACAAAGACATAGACGGACAGAAAGACACTGGTAAGCAGGGAATCTCACATCTTGTCCTCCAAGCAGATCTTGGGCCCGATGACGTTGGCAGCACCAGACACCAGGCGGAACGCCAAATGTTTTGCGGGACAGGGGGCTGATAGTCCACATTTATACTTCCGAGGGCGCGATTCAGCTAAAAATATGAAACATTAGTCAGTGGTGATAAGGAGAATTAAAAAACATTATCATGATCATACTTGACGGGTCAAAGTCATTAAATGTGATTAACTGCTTTCTTACTTACCAGCTGTTGGCTTCTCGCTTGCACCTGTAATACAAAATAAATAAAAATGTCACACATAAAAAAAGGATAAATATTTTAAATCTCAAAAAAAGGCTTTCTTGGATCTGAGTATATTTCACATATACATAAACCCTTCTAACCTGTCTTTAGGTTGCTAATATACATTTGTACCTAAAAGAAATGGAAAAAGGCCCATCACTGTTTCCCAGAGCTAAATGCAATGTTAAAAATTCAAAATAAATTCAATGTTCAATTCTTCAAAACAGAGCAACTCCGCAAAGCCTCACATTAAGCTGTTACATCCAGTGAGCAGTAGCCAGTGGTGCTTGATAGATTGTTTGTAACTAATATTTGTATTAATCATTGAATTGTTTCAGAACAACTTCTTATACCAGTGAAGAAACTCCGCATGGATGAGCCGCTCTCCCCTCCGAATAAGGAGTTTGCCAGCAGCCAGGTGAGGCCCACCAGCAGCAGCACAGCCACAGCTCTCAGGGGCCCTGCAGATAAACAGGAAACACCGGTTGAGGCCACGTGCATAAGAAAACAACTCAATCAAAAAGTTTAAAGTTAGAATTGGCTTTTGTTAGCTTTTTTTTTTATAAAAAAGAAATGCAAAAACTAAAACTGACCTGTTAGTCTCATGATTCACCGTCTCATAGGCCTAGACAGGGAATTAAAAACAAATTAATATATTAAGTAGATTTCATAATGAGATTTGTCAAAACACTTTGATTATCAACATATTTTCCATTTGTCATGACAGGACAAGAAACTAATCACAAATACAATACGGGATGATTCATCTTATTGTTTGAAATAATGGAATAATACCCTTTCATTGTGTAAATTGTTCTTGATTTAAGAAACTTTAAAGAGTTTATTATAAGTAAAATATTGAAGGAAAAGAGTGGTATTCTTTAACCAAAACGGCAGATATAAATAATAAACGAAACCCTATAAATAATAACATAAATCACAATTGTGGGGTGATGTTTTCAAATGAGAATGACAACTAACAGAAAGCTTTACATTTTCCATTGTGGCAATGCAAGATGGCTATGCAGAGATGGCGTTTGAAGTAACAAACCAAAAAGGCAACACATGATAACCCTTTGACAACATACTTAATCACTTATATCAAATTACTTAAAAGACACGACATATTTTACCTGTTGTATCCACGCTTGAGGCCAATGCTGCCTTTTCTTTTCACCTCTGTAGTCTGTAATGAACGGTGAAGAGGAGCTGTTGCTCTTGCCTCTCGGGACTTTGCCTATTTCTTGCGCTGTTTCCTCATTGAAGCTCCTTTGGTATAAAACACCTCTAAACAAGAAGACAGGCTAAAGTCAAAACGTCTAGTCAACTATGAAGACAACTCCTACTTATCCGCTTTTGGCAAACATGGAACAAAATGCTGGTTTGTTGGTGTCTTCCGGATATATTGCCAACCCAAGTGCCAGCCAACCCAACCCCCAGTCCCAGGCGGAGCGCACGGAGTCTGCGCGGAGGGATTCTTCTTCTGCTCCTTCTGAGTTGCCAAACTAGACCCTGCAATAACGCATTGTGCCGATTGTGCCCTCTAACGTTACTGTTTGTTACATTCACATTTTTAATATTTATTCACAGATTAATTTTGTGCATGAATTACGCCAGTTTCTTTATTTCAGTCGAGTAATTAGCGCAGAGAAAACTGATTCTAGGTTCCCTGAACAACTTATTTCGTTAAATCCATGCACTGGACAATGAAACCCATGTGTGCTGGTACACAAATTAACCTACCTCACAGCCTGCTTTGTGAATTATTTATAATGTTTGCAAAGTATTGAATACTGAACTAATTGCTGCTGCTGAATCACTGCATGATTTAATTGCCTTGTCTATTATCCTCTATCAGCCAAAGTGCCTAAAATATTTCCCGCATCTCTGCCCTGAATAGCCTTCTGACATCTGAGCTGACCTTTTTACATTTTTCATTCAGGAATGGTTTCTCCAAATGCAACTTTCCCACTTTCTGGATCTTTGATTCATCTATAGCTAAATGTGCAGACAAGACCTTCATTCTTGTTGAACATTTATTTTTGAAGATTTATTTTTTGCAAAGTTGTTTACGTGACCAAAATTCTTATTATTATTTAACCATTATCTATATTTTTCATTATTATTTTAACAGATCTTTATTGAAGCTTGACTCTCCCTCCTTGTCACGATATCTACCACTCTATAATGTAATAAATACATATTTACAATTATTTTAAAAAAACGTCCTCATTCACTTGTATTATTTGAAAAGTGTTCTTAGTTAAATATCAAGTGATTTGTGGAGAAATATTTAGTTCCTTAATACTTTGATGTGTGCCCTATTGTTGCCCCTCTTATTATTATTATATTATAATTGTCCTTGACACAATTTAAACACATTTTTTTTCCAGATGACCTTCGTATTGTTTTATTTAATTTGTATGTGAGACATGTATGATCTTTATTGTGGGTTAAAAAAATTAAAACCCGTAAAAACAATAACATTGTAACTATCGCGCGAGCACAAGCCTAATCTCGTTCAAGCGACCACTGCTTCAGAATCAAGATGGCTGCCCACAGTGCTGTGCTCTCCATGTCCAAAATCTTTAATCCTTTCTGGGGTGGACGCCTCGGAAACACGGTTAAAGTAAGACAAGACACATCGCTGTTGTCACATCAGTTGCAAACGTTGGTGTTTTTCAGCTCTGTGTGAGAGTGTTGTCATTCTACTCTTAGACTATTTTGTCTGAAGACAAGGTCATATGCTAAAAATCATAACGTTATAGCATGCTTCTTTGACATAATTTAAACTGCACATATTGAAGAGTGTGTTGCATTACAGTTGTGCTAAATAACGCAGACCCTCTGATAATGAAATGCTTCTCTCTTTTTCTGTATTTCAGGTATTTGGGACAACTCTGACAAGTCACAGGAATAGGAGCTCACGTAATGTGAGTAAATCAGATTGTATCTGTGGGGTTTAATCTTATAAGAATGAGTATATGTGATTTTGCCCATTTAAATATAAATTGTATGAGTAATTCAATAAAAATCACATCTGCTCATTATACTGTATTTTCCCAGCTTTATGGCTTTGGGTTAACTTTGGGAGTAGTAAGGTACCCTTGGTAGATGTTTTGGGGGGTGCTACATATCTCTCTTGGGGGAGGATAGTTATGATGCCTCCTTACTGCCTGGATTCTTTTATGTGACTTCCAAACTTAACTTTCTCTTTTCTGCTTTCCTTGGTGTCCATTTTCAACAACAGGGAGACAACATTGTAAGTAACTGACTCTGACGTGTTTGACTAAACATCATTTCATGACTTCACAAACAACACACACCATTACATTTCTCATTCTAGGGCTGTGTGATGTAGGAAAACAAATCTATAATCTGAAATAACACAAAAACTGTTGTCATTATTGCTGCTCATTACTGCATTGGTAAGGTCATGGATGCAGATGTCAAACAAACACTGATTATATCTGTCTTAGTAGTTCCATTATTATCTTAGTTTAATAACAAGATCGTTCTTTACTCGCAATATAAAAAATCAGCAAATGCAGCAATGTGATGGCAATGACAACAAAGTGATATATTGCCCAGCCCTAGATATAACACTATCAACTTATTATTGCTTTACATTACTGTCACACATCACATTCTTGGTGCTTTGCTGAACTGTACTGGAGATTTTGCTTTTTCTCGCCCAATAATTCATTATCCAACATTCAAGTTAATAACATATGCACAACAACAACAACAACAACAACAACAACAACAACAACAACAACAACAACAACAACAACAGAGAAGCAGTTGTTAGCAATTACCTATAGATTATGTAAATTGTCAACACATACCAAAGTAAGGCTGCCACTATTTGTTTCTTTTCACTAAAGTATGAAATCTATGGAAAGGTTTATATATTATACTGTTGTTAGTTTGAAAGTGAAAGTTTGATAATCAATCTTAACATATTGTATCATAGTAACTTGGGATGTGCATGATAAGTCGATTAAACATTGCTATCCTTAACTTATTATAAAAACTATTATTTTTTTAATATACTTCACATGTAAACATCATATTGACATAATTTGCACTGAAATCAAATGCCGTGTCTTTGTATTTTAATAAAAAAGAAAACAAGAGCATTTGTTTGCTACAAGTAGCTGTTCGTTAACAGTGCCTATTTTAAATGGACAATATTCTGAAATTATTTAAACATTTAGACTGTTTTCTTACTTTTAGGCTAGTGGACTAGTCTTTTATTCTGAACTTCAGGGAACAGTATGAACACCCACAATGTGTTATTATGCAGCAACATACAGGTAATTTGTAGTTGGGTAAAACAAAACAGTTTGGTCCTTTTTAAGTTCAGTTAATAATATATAACATGCCAATGTTTCAGCCCCCTCCTGCAAAGTATGGAGGCAGACACACTGTGACCTTGATACCTGGAGATGGAATCGGCCCAGACCTGCTCAATCATGTCAGAGAGGTTTTCAGGTTGGTTCGACTTAAACTAAATCCTCTCCAAAGTGTTGACTACTGCCTGCTGATATTGCCTTACTATGTGGTTGTTTGTACTCGTGCTGTAGGTTTAGCTGCGTCCCGGTGGACTTCGAGGTGGTTCATGTCAACTCTGCTGATGAGTCGGAGGATGATATCAACAATGCCATCATGGCCATTCGCCGTAATGGTGTTGCCCTCAAAGGCAAGCAAACCCCTTTGTTTCTGTGTCACAAGCACAGCTGTGAGAAGCATGCAGTTTATAATAAGACCGGGACACTAAAGTTTAACTATGACATTTCTCAACTCTCCTGATAGGTAACATTGAAACCATACACACCATGGCACCATCTGTCAAATCCAGAAATAATCTCCTACGGTAAGAGCTTTAATGAAATATTCCCCTGATATATGCTCTCTTTTGTCCCATGGCTTACATTTGTTCCATAATTTGGTCCTTTCTGTCTGGTAATGTCAGTTGGCACATTGTTTACTCCTGACACCCACACCCTCCCCATTGTGCGAAAAAGCACACGTCCCACCGTCCGGGACGTGTTATTTACAATGTCGGACAAGTAGATCTTTCAATTGACTTGTCCGGCGGACAAGTGACGTTTTTAGCCCTCATTTATTGACAAATTATTGATAAACTCAGTTTACAAAAGGCAGAACTCATTCGCAAATTGTCCGTGTCCGCCATTGTTCGTTTAGAAATGTTAGTTTCGGTTCTGCTTGTCGATTCCTAAGGAAATGCATCTCGCCGCTTTCTGTACTGTTAGACGGGGGCGGGGCGGTGCGGTGCGGTACGTGTAGCACAGTGGCAGGGTTGGGAAGCAAAACTCGGTTCCGAGTAGGAACAAATAACAATTGTCCGGTACCGGGATTAATAAGAGTTGTGAGGACAGGAGGCGAGGCCGAGCCCCGTGGACCGCAGCTCTCTCTCTCTGCTCCGGATCATCTGATCGCTGCACGGTGCAGTTCAGCGTCTCTCTCTCTCCCTCTCTCTTTCTACACACAGCGGACCCGCTGCCCGTTTAACAGCCTAATCTTTGTCAAACTTTCTTATGTTCTTTCTTTAACACGTAATGAAGGTTATTAAGCGTTTTAGCTCCTACGTTGTTAATATTGACGCCATTTCCTTTATGAAGTAAAGCAGCCTCCCTGTCTGTGTCCTCGCGCTGTCCTCACATCCCCCGACCCCTAGACTCGGAGGAGCACAGGGATGTCAGTATTGTTTATGAAGCAGGGTATAGAAAATACATTATTGAAATGAAAATAGTATTTATTTATTTTTACAAACAGTGAGCAGCTGGGCAGCTGCAGCATGTGTATTGCAGGACATGTGTAAGCATGCAAGTGTCTTTGAGTTGTCGAAAAGCGCTAGGCCTATAGGCTATAAATATAATGTATTATTATTATTATTAGGCCTATGTGTTGGACATGTGTGGTTGGACTCTGTCTCACAGGCAGGTTGCAGTGTAACATCAGAGGAGACTGGGCCAATTGTACATTCTCAAACTGCACCACATAGAACTAACTAAACAATGCAGAGATTATTTTTATATAATTGTATTCAATAACCGTAAGAAATTAAACGGTATGAAGTGATTTCTAAATAGGAATACAGATTTGACTTAATGTTTTCATAAATATGTTTTTCTCCCAGTTTGTCATGGGACTTATTTTTACCCTCTCAAAGAACCGGAATCGAGAACCGAAAATAACCGGAATCGAAAAGCAGAACCGGAATCGTTAAAATCCAAACTATACCCAACCCTACATGTGTGATGCAGTAAGACCTTACCGCTCACTTACGTTAGCGGTGTCGTAAAAAACGTGGGAAAATGTAAAATACGTTGGCGAAGAAGAAGATTCCAGTGGCCCCAATTTTTGTCCATTCTGGACAAGTGAAAAATGTATTCGGACAAGTAAATTGCCAAACTCACTTGTCCATGGACAAGTACTCTCTAAAAACTTTTTCTCACACTGCTCCCCCTCTTTTTCTATGTATCAACAGCACAAACTTAGACCTGTATGCCAATGTGATGCACTGCCAGTCCCTCCCCGCAGTCCAGACTCGCCACAAGAACATCGACATCATGATCATCAGGGAGAACACGGAGGGAGAGTACAGCAGTCTGGAGCACGAGGTCAGACATAACTGAAGCACGCTTAGGTTTTTGTGTATTCTTGTAAAAGCCACTATAAAAGTGCATCATTAGCTTACGGCTAAACATTGATCGACTATACTTGATCAGTTTTTATATTGGCCAGACATGACAAATCCACATGAAATGCTGTTTTTCAGTGGCCATCTTTATGAAACGTTTAGAATGCTTTGACATTTGCACAAGACTTATGTTTGTATGTAGACACTAAGCTGCCGTTACAGCCTGAGGTTGCCTTTTCAAAGAACAAAAATCTAAAGAGGGTGGCGCACCTTACTCCAAAAAAACTTGACCTAGTTCTGAAGTAAATGTACCTCTGCAGGAAGGAAATGCAAAACAAGCTCTTTTATTAAGAAGCATCAGTAGTGGCTTTGAAATGACAAAAAGAGATGCGTGAGAAACTATTACTTGTTCAGTAAGGAAGTGTTAAAAATACCATAATGCTTTGTATTATAAAACTGTAGAACTGACTAAAGTCAGCACTCAAATAACAATACAAGGTTTTGTTATTTGGAATGTCTTGGTGAATGAGGTCTATGTTACTACATTACTAACAGCACCACCTACTGGACCTTTTGTTGTCATTAATCAAACATTTTCCAATCCGTCTTCTTTCAGAGTGTATCAGGGGTAGTGGAGTGTCTGAAGATCATCACCAGGACCAATTCCCTCAGGATCGCTGACTATGCCTTCAAACTGGCCCGGGAGAAAGGTCGTAGCAGGGTCACCGCCGTGCACAAGGCTAACATCATGTGAGTTACTCCGAGGCTAATGTATCGTGCCATAACTGTCTGGACTCATGAGTCTTGCGTAATGTTGTGAGTCTCTTGATGTGGAAATGATGATTTTGACCTTTCTGCTCCAACAGGAAGCTGGGTGATGGCTTGTTCCTGCAGTGCTGCAGAGAAGTGGCCTCTGGCTACCCAGACATCACGTTTGACAGCATGATTGTGGACAACACCACCATGCAGGTGATGGAAGATTAAACGAGAAATCCTTTGAATTTGTCCATTTTGCTTTATCTAAATCAGGGGTGTCCAAACTTTTTTCACCGAGGGCCACATACAGAAAAACATGCGAATGGCTGGGCCACTCCCTAGAGGTGAGGTATATTGCCTCATACGTTCAGTTATAAGTTGGAAAAATCAATCCAATGTAGGTAAATTATTCTTGATAAAAAAAACAGCATACATCACAGCTCTCCATAGGGTTTCATTCATTTTGTTAGCAGCTCATTCCTTAAAACAGAAGCTTCAGATTGCTTATGAGAGGAAATATGTTATGTTATAATAGTTATTGGGCTTTTTTCTTATCAACTTAGATTTGTTAGAACATGTTTTCAACTTTAATTGATTGAATTTATATGAAAATTGGCCTGTTAACACATGAATACTGTGTAATATATTTGAACATATTTAAGAAGCACAATATAAGACAAGCAGAAGTCTATTATACTTAAAGGGGACCTATCATGCAAAATGCACTTTTGTACGTCTTTTATACATGAATATGTGTCCCCGGTGTTCCAGGGAACTCACCAAGTGTCAGAAAACACAACCCTCTCCATTTTCCTCCATACCCAAATCTCTAAAAAAGGGGCTGCAACGGATCTGATAAAAACTGATCCAGATTTGAACACTGTCCTGACGTCAGGACGATGGCGCTACGGCTATTGGGCCAACTCCACCAATCAGGAGGAGACAACCACGGCATTGCCGTTCGAAAGCGCTGGAGACGTTGTAGTACATATGCCAGGCCTCTAGATGGTGCTGTTGCTCACAGAATCAACCCTTGCTAAAACAGATCTAGCATGGCTAAAATGCATGATCTGTTTGGTATTTTGAAAAAAAAAAAAGTATAAATATGCCTTATATAGGTATGGTCCTACACTATATTATTCAAATATAGCATGATAGGTCCACTTTAAGTCATTATACCTTTTGAATTTGCTGAGGGCCGATTCAAAATGGTCCGCAGGCCGTAGTTTGGACACCCCTGATCTAAATTATTTACCTAACACTTTCCTTGTGTGTTTCAGCTGGTGTCCAAGCCCCAGCAGTTTGATGTGATGGTGATGCCCAACCTGTACGGGAATGTGGTGAGCAACGTGTGTGCTGGCCTGGTGGGGGGGGCCCGGCCTCGTGCCCGGGGCCAACTATGGCCTTAACTATGCTGTCTTTGAAACGGTGAGTCTCTGGGATACCATGCTGAATACAACACAGTCCATTCTGTTTTATAAGAAAATAAACAATCATGTCTGCCTGAAATATTGTAATTTAGAATGTGTTTCTTTATTTTCTGGGTCTCTCAGGCCACAAGGAACACAGGGAAGAGTATCGCAGGAAAGAACATTGCCAACCCCACCGCCATGCTGCTGGCCGGCTGCATGATGCTGGACCACCTCAAGTAAGTTCATTCACATAAAATACTTTTAGCACATACACAGGATGTACTGCTGTGACTAATATAACAGTAAATAAATCATTCTTTATCCTGTTTGTCTACAGGCTTTATGACTACGCCACAATGATCCGAAATGCAATCCTCTCCACCATGAATGAAACCAGGGTAAGTCTTCCTTCAGCCTCTCCCCTCACCTGTCGCTGCCACCATGCTAACACGCCATTGTTGTGTGACAGAGGCTTAGAGGACTGGTGGCAGGTCTGGCATGCTTTCTAGTGGGCTTCACAATACATGCACACAAAGCAGCATCGTGCCTTTCAGTGTCACAAAGCTCTTGTGAAATGCTACACTGTATGGTATCTGATTTTACATTGTGTGGGATTTACATTAATCACGGTCCTTGAGCTATTTAAAAAACGGATCTGCCCATCACGCAAAGCAGCAGACTGCATGCTGCTTTGACAGGTTTTTTAGAGATGATGTGTTACATGTATTTCATTTTTACCCAAGGGGAAAGGTTTGCATACAGACACTTTAAAAAAAAAACATATTTATAAATTATGACTGTACAATAAGACTAATTTGAGGATTTAAAATGTTAATGAAATTGTTGCTGTGTAACTTGATTCACTTTCAGGCATGACCCTGTTTTTCTTTTCCTTGCAGTTGCACACAGCTGATATCGGGGGTCAGGGCACCACATCAGAGGTGGTCCAGTCCATCATGAGGAACATCCAGAGTAAAGGGCCGCTCATATCTGAGCGTTAAACACACACACACACACACTCAAAAGGTGTGAGAACAGGTTATCCACGCATGTCTGTTTCCATAGCATCAGGTCTTATCGCTAACATTAAAACGGTTGTATTTTCTTCTTGTTCACACGGCTTACAGACTCTACAAACATCTTTTTAAAACACTCCTGTGTGTAACTCATACTTCACAAGAACGGTTTACTTTTGATAAATATCAGTACTTTTTTTTAATTAGATGAAGCATTCTGCTATAAGTACATTTGCTCAATTCATCAGGTTCATTTGTGGAAGATGTAGTTTTACAAATTGTTATGAAACATGAAGGCCTCTTTTTTCTGTTCGAATGTTGGCCTGATATGTTGGGGCCAGAAATATTTAAAATATCCTCATATGTATTGTCCACCCTCTTCAGAGAATCCTTATTTATTTTCCAATTTACAACTATGTTACTACCTTTTCAGTCAACCAAAATGTGCTATGTGCTTCATTTATTGCTCACCTTTTCTTTGTCTTACTGTAACTTAAATGTCAAGTTGCCTAAAATGTACTGTCGTATGTGTTCACATCAGATCAACTGTACTATAAAAATGGTGATGTAGTTATTTCATATAAACTGTATCGAATAAGGTGTACATTAAGTAAAATTACTTTTAATCATATCACACAAATGTGCTGCTGTCTTTGTCTCACCAGATAAGAGCTCTTAAGCCTGATATGAAAACAATGGATTTACCATACTGTAACTGTGGCGGATACATATATATATATATATATATACTGTTAAACACAATTATTATCAAGAAAATAAAGAAATATACTTAATCGTGATTTATTTGGACAATATATAAAACATCAAGTGTTGGGGAAGCTTTGCAAGCTTCTCACTGGAGGAATTTCAACTACAAATGTCTCAATTGAGCAAAGATATCCTAGCAAGAAATCTAGTTTAAATAGCCACAGCTACTCAGAAAAGTAGTTCAAACCCTCTTGTAAAAAATGATCTTATTGACAGTTTGCCTGTTATACACAATTATAACAAATTATATTACGGTCACAGCAAGTCCAAAATACCACACTGAAGAATATTACATCGTTCATCTTTTTAGACCGACCAGTTTTTGAACATTTTGAACACTAGTTCACCTCTTAAACAGAACATTTAAACCACAATCATGGAGCTAGAGCTCTACTTAATAAACTGGCAGCTGAGTGTAAATATCTTTTATAAAACAGAAATCTTTTATTGCTCAGCTCAGTGTAGATTCATCTTGATTCTTGGCCTTTGCTTCAAAGACAGACTCTCTATCCTGACACCCTGCTGGGGGATTAAGATCATTTTCCTGCAAATAAGATAAGCTCACTGATCCTTCCGTTTGTTTTACAATTACGCGCTCCATCAACACCATACTTTGGATGACAAGGTGCTGTTTTATGTTTCATCACTAGGGGGCAACACTTATTTCGAGAGTTGCCACTGAAATGTAACTGGAAGCAAATTGTGCACAACTGTGTGCATGTGCGTGTTGATACATACAAAACATATAAAACAAATTACAGAATATATAAATCCCTGTGGAGCGCATAATATTACTGCACTGACAGTAGTGTGAAAAAGCTGCGGGGAAACTTGGAAGAATCTCTGGCAGGCATTATGTTTCAAATAAATTGGAACTGAGACAAACCTAAAAGTTATTTTGGCTTTGTTCTCTTATTCTCTAAATTATCCTCTTTTAGAATTAAACCAAGCCATTTGTTATTGTTTCGTCTAGTTTTTAAGAATACTCTTACTACACGATCATATTAAGAAAAACTGCCCCAACCCCTTGAGCCCAGCAGCTGCAAGAGGAGGAGCTGATGGATGCTGTATTGGTTTCTCATTCAGCTGTGACCTTCAGTTTACAAATAATCCCAGCCTGCCTCTCTTTCTCAGTTGCGGTCACATCCCATTGTAATGACACAGGCCAATTTATCATGTGTCTTACTCTGTGGGAAAATTACAAACTGTTTCTTCAGATAGAGCATCTGCATATTGAGCTGAGATATAATTTGTGATAAGGCTCTTTTTTTAGGTTTTGTTGTCCCAGGGAATCAACAAATAGTCGTAAAATGTGTGTGCCATGTGTGGGAATTACTACGTGTACTTTGGCCTCTGACTGTTGGCGGCCTTTAACTGTTTATGTTATTCATGTCAATGTTTCACTCTACAGAGATTTAGCATCAATCAATTGCTGTTGTACGTTCTGTGAGAGGGCCAGCTTTTTCTCATCGCCTTCTTCCACTCAGTTTACCTCACTTCACCTCACATCAATTCTCATCACTGTATGTTGAGCTTCACACTCTCTCTCCTGTCACTCCTCACCTCTCGGTCACTCCCTTCCTCCCTCCCCAGCTCCTGCGGCCCCTCTAGGCCTCCGTTGGAGCAGGGCCACGAGGCAGATGTTCAGATATCAGGGTGATTTAGCAATAAATCACCGGACACTTTAACAGGGCCACCTAACAGTCCTTGTATACACTTTTAGAGGGAACCAACCTGTGCCGGGTGCTTGGGTTTGTTCACCCAACTTAGGAAAACAAAAAATATCACATAGGCCTACCCCGATGTTATCGAGCCATACAGAGAGTTTTGGCTAGCATGCCTAGTTTTAGAGATATCTATCTCTGAGGTTTGTGCTGCCATTCTAATACAAATAAGGTATTAGGAATGTCGCTTGTGGTGCTGACAGCACTGAAAAATCACGTTAGGAAAAATCAACGCCAGCTTCTCTTTCCAGAAACAGTGCCCCTGAAACTCGGGATAGGAGCTCAAAATGAAAACTGTTCACTGCATGCTGTGAGTATCGCAAAAATAAATGTTGCTATTTAACTTTCTTAATAGTTTATTTTAGCACCACAAACTACATTTTATTGACCTCATTGTATTGGGGTGGAGGCTGACCGATTCAAGTTTTGACCCGGTAAATGTTCCACAAATGTCACTTGCTGCTTTCGTTTCTAGACTCTTCGTGAATGAACACACATCAACAGATATTTCTAATGATGTACATTCAGATATGGGGTTTATCTTTCAAGGCACTCACTAAACATGCCACTGCGTGCTCTTTTTAGCTCTCCTCTTTCACCCTATTCATTCTTTTTCTTGTTCTTTGAAATACAATGTTACATTTTTCATTCATCATTCGAAAAAATGCTCATCTAAAAGGTTGAGTCAAACCACAAGACACTGATATTAAAACATGTGGTTTTATTATTGGCCCTAACTCTGCTTGCTTCTGATCATTTCCAGAGTCATCCCTCTCTCATTCTCTCTCAATCTAAGACACACACACACACATGCGCACACACATACATACACAAAACACACTATTAGTTCAGTGTAATTTAAGATCCAATGGTTAATTTCCACTTCATATGACCATGTGCCCTCTTCACTCTTTTGATCAGCTATGCTACGCTACGCTGTGCAGTGCATTGCAGGTGATCATTCAGCTTGTCTCAGATCAGGCTCTGCCAAGCACAGCTGCATCCAGTCAGTCAGCTCTGCTCTGTTAATGGGACTTTCCCCCCCCACAACTATGGCTTAGCTACGTCAGCGGTCAGCTATTCTCAATGACTTGGGCCTGGCTGTGTGTTCGAGGCTCTCTGTGTGTCCTCTTGGACTTCCAGTGTCTTCCTCAGCAGTGATATCATTCATTCGAGAATTACGGGAGAAATCAGTGTTTTCCTCATATAAATTGATGTAGAAAGGAGGTAAAGGGAGTTCATACATGGCTGGCGGATAAGGGGGAGAGCAAGGGTAACGAGCAACTTGAGGGTGGGGAGGATGGTGAGCTTTCGGTAGCGATTGGGAGGAAGAACAGTGATAAATAGCAGATATGCTTCGGTAACCGGGGAGTTCACCGGGCAGTCCGCTGTTAAAACCCTTCATCACCTCCTTATCTTTTCAAACTCCTGCCTGCTTCTTTATCAGGAGCTGCACACTGTTATTCTTTTTTATAGCGCTGTTTTTAACACCAGTGGGATACCACCGTGGAGAGGATAAGGGGCCTATCGTTGCAGCTCAAAAGCGTGAAGTGATATACTTCATTCACCAGGACATTTTTATTTCTTCTATTTGAGGGTAGTCCACTTGCAGAGCGTTAAACTGCTGGGGTTGCACTGTCTTAAATAAGGACACTCAAAGGAGCATGTGCAGGCCAACGTCGAGCTTGAACTGGGGTCACGCAGTCAGACTTTCTTTCTTACTTGGCCAACTTGGCGGATACCACTCTAAGCCCTAAATAGATACAGGGGGCTCCCCAATATGACATCATAGTTAAAACCGTGGTTAAAATACAGTTACACACTTGTGACCCCAGGACTTATCTTCCACCTTCTAAAACACATGAAGTAAATTGTTCCATTGTGCTTTCTATTTTATCCCCAAGGGATGGAATCTGTGTCTCCAGGCAAATCTGTGTGTGTGTGTGTACATGCTGGTAATTATATGTCTGCATGTGTCTCGTATATGTGCACACATCTGATTATGCTTTTACTGGAGCCATGGCTTAGCCCCAGGCAGAGAAACCGATCCCACCTGTGCAACAAACCCTTTACATGGTATTCTGCCCCGAGCTCCAATGTGGTCAAATGTTGCACGGGGGAGGGGGTCAGCAGGCGAGTGGGGTGGTTTATTGCATTGTGTCTAAAAAAGGAACCTGTCTGTCTTGCTCACTTTTCCTTAACTACCTCACGCATATTTTCTTTCCCCCTCCCACTGAGAGGGGCACTGAAAGCCTCTTGGCAAAGTGATAGTGACGGGAGCCTGCGAGCTATTTCTGTTCGGTTTTATATTTATGATAAATTAGGGGGCTTGTGTTGCTAGCTGGGTCTTCTGGGAAGTTTGATATGTTGTAGCTCATTAAAGAGTTAGGTCACTGCAGCACTTTGATTACATATATAAGAGAGAGGAAGAGAGGGGAGGTAAAAGCATGCAGTGATTGAGAGTCTATTGATGAGCTATTTGTCTACTTAAACCATTCTACTTCTGTAAATATTTCCCCTGTTCTGACTTCCTTTTTCAATCTACATTGCTATCTCTCCCCTTCAATCATTCTTCCTCTAACGCTAATAAATGTGTTACCATCTGTGCCGTGTATCTGTGAGTTCAGGTGGCGCTCCCAGAGTTACATTACATCAAGGCAGTGTTTCTCAAAGTGGGGGGCATGACAGGGGGGGCGCGAGAGACCAGGAGAAAAAATGGTTTTGAAAAAAAGAAAATCATAATTTGAAAAATTATTGATTCGAACATAATATGATACAGTACAGTACAAGTACGTCTGGGTCTCTGTGTTTCATTTCAGGTTAAAGCTTGGCTCTGTGTGTGTGTGGAACGAGCCATTTTGTGTGCGTGCACGAGTGAGAGAGAGAGAGAGAGAGAGAGAACGCACCGGTACCGGAGATCGTTGTTGTTAGCTTCTGGTGCTAGCGAGCTACGCTAACGGATATAAGGAGCTTTTTCAACAACAAGGTGGAGGAGAGTCCTCTCCTGTCAGACTGAGAGGCTCAGATAACCTCAGCTCAGTGAGGTAAAGGACTCTCTCAGTGTTTAGATTACCCACTGAGATTAGTTATCTCAGTGGGTCTCAAACGGTTTGGTCACGATTAATGTAAACAATTATTT